GCCACATTTATTTTTTTTCCGAAAAGCATTATTTTCCAATAATCACGACATCAATATTGATAACTGTATTATTTTAAAAACAGAAGCTATTGGATAAGATTTTAAAAAATAAATAAAATCAGAATATTTATATGTCTTCTCCCAAGAGCTGGAAAGGAGTTCCCTTTTTAACTTGAAGAACAATCTGCAGCAGCTAATTGTCTATTTTGGACATTATTAAGACATAATTATAAATAAAATATGAAGGAATTAAGATCTTGAAGAGAAATTTTGTTTACATGTATTTATGTTTGTGAATTTTTAAAATTACTTATCTTTACTCTTGTATATTACTTAATATTTGGTTGTTATAGCAATCAAAACGAAAACAGACACCCCAAAAAAGGCAATGTTATTCCATTTTCAATGGTGTTTACCCTGACAAACCAATTGATCACCACATTTTAAGTATAGTAGCAGAAAGCATTTTAGCATATATTTATAGCCCATGGCATGTAATATAAAATATTAAGAATTGTATAATTTTAGTGAATTATTAAGGATTTTGGATGGTTGTCATAGCAACCACATAATTTTAAAAAACGGACAACTGTTGTTTCATTATCATTGTTCTAAGCATTCGTTTCTTACATTATTGTTAGAATTCTGCTTTTACATATTATTTTCTACTCAGAAGATAACATTGACCAATAAAAAATTATTCTCTAAAGACTAAAGAGTAAAAGTAGGTTACTCAGTTACTGATACAATGTAGGCTATGGTAGGCCTAGTCATGTTTATATTATAAAGGCCTAGGCCTAAAAGCTACAATTTAACTCAAAGAATTGTTGTTTTTACTTCACTTTTGAATATTTCTATTATTCCTTCAAATCGGTATGTAGCCTATTGAGCAACTTCCTTTTTTGTATATTTTAATCAATGTATTGTAAATAAATATCAAATCAAGGCCTAAAGGCCTTACGTTTGTCGGTTCTTTCAACTTGTTTAACTGGCCAACAAATAATATGTGATACTCGAGGTGTTAAATATAGTTTCCTTAAAAAAACAAAGAATTAAAATTATAATAATTAGTATGACAACTGTTATATAATGCTAAATTATCTAATAAAACGTTTTGGGAAAATTGGGTATCTGTATCGATACAAATCCAGAAATTGAGCCATTTTTCAAACTATTTCAGCTAGCGTTAATTCTTTTGTTATTCCAACTTTATTTGGGTAAAGTTCCCTTTTTAAGTGGGTAGAAATCGATGTACTAATTATCAGTAGTACTATACTATCTTCCTCGCGGCTGCGGTCGGCACCAAGACCCGTGTGGATATTTTCTGGTTTCATTTCCATTCGTGTGCACAGAAATGGTTTAAAATAGGGCTTGAATAATTCAGTGAACAGCGAATTTATGATTTCAGTGCATTGAAACATTCGTCAATGTTACGAAATTTTTCAATTCTTGAAAAATGTTTGGTGTTAAAAGTAGAGACCTGTGGTCGCTGGGATGAAACTTCCCTTCGATTTTTTTATGTCCTGTCACATGGTTATAAAAGCGCGCGAAGATGAGTCACGTGATGTAAACACAGTCGGCCCTGCGAAAGGCGTGAATAAAATGGAATTACTATTGTTATTTATTTTCAGGCAAGTCATTTATTCATATCACATAACGATTTCTTCATAAATAAACATCGAGTTGCATTTCGAGCTAAATTTACGGCGAATATGAGTCACAGGAACTTGGAATGGATTTTTCTTCTCGTGTAGAAATGACGTCATAACAAGGCAAAACTACGCGATTTATTTTTGACAAAATTGTCCATTGTATACAATTTTCAAATGCTCGGCGGCGGTTCTTAAAATGCTCCGATTTTGTTGATTTTAATAGCATTGAAACGACAATAAAACGAACTTTCGATCGGTCGGGGGTGCTATATTGGCAAATCGCCTCACAAAAAGATTACGTGAATTGAAGCGTTCAACTTACAAATAAGGCATGGTATTTCGAAATGCCGACAAAGCACCCCCGACCGATCGAAAGATCGTTCAATTACCTTTCTAATGATATTAAAATGAAAAAATATTAAAAATAGGAACCGCCGCCGAGCACTTGAAGTGGGGTACCCTCATTTCAAAACGTGACAAATTTTCAGCGTAACGTCAAAACACGGGAAATTGACGTTTTTCAACTTACGTTTATGAAATTAATAAAATGAACACATATATAAAAATTATACCAAGCAAAAGAACAGGATATCGGCTTCCAAAATATTTTAAAATTATTACAAAATATTAAATAGCCACCGTATGACGTTAAGTTGAAAAAGGGTGACAAATCGGGAAAAAATGACTTTCTTTCAACGCGGGCAATGGAGCTGTGACACCTACTTGTAGCATATATCAGATCACGACTCATAATGGTATTACACAATGGTTTCTTTGGGCTGTATTCCCGATTATTTTCAAATTTGAGTGAAGTCTGTGTCACTACAGGCCCGGACTATACAGTAAAGTGGAGGCTTACGGGTAGCCTCCGGATCCATTCACTTTTTTTTTTAATTGTTTTTTTTGGGTGGTTTCTGAGCATGGTGTCTTCTCCTTGTATTTGTTTCTGTATAAATTATGTGTAGTGCAGTCCCCCCTGCACTTGAAACGCAAAGATTCTCTAAGCAACAATTAATGATTTTATGTCTCATTTTATGTCTAGATGTTGTCTTTTTTATCACACATTTTTGGTAGATAAAATATTCCAGTTGGCGTGAAAAAAATATGAACATTTTTGTATATAAAAATTATCATCCATTTTGGCGGAAAAAAATTGAAAGCCAGTGTGAGCCCTGGTCTCTATGCTTCACAACGAATTTGAAAGTAAACAAGCCAACAGTGAGGCTGATGTCTCTCAAAGAAATTGAAAACTCCCACCCAGATATTAAACAGCGGCTGCCAGACAGGATACGCCCACATTTTCGAGAGATGGATAGAGAACAAGCTTAAAAAAAAAGTGATTTTTCCTACAATCAAGGGCCATAATTCAGGAAGTTGAATATTGAAAGGAACCAAGATCTTAGGTTATAAACCTACATTTCAAGTTGCAACAAAATTGGATAACAAGCGGCTGCCAGACAGGATGGATGGATAGAGAACAAGCTAAAAAGAAAGTGATTTTTCATACAATCAGGGGCCATAATTCAGGAAGTTACGAAAAGAACCGAGATCTTTGGGTTATAAACTTACATTTCAAGTTTCAACAAAATCGGATGAAAAATTGTGACCTCTTTAGGGTCCACAACCTTGAAAAACCATATTTTTACGCTATTTGAGAACGAAGGGTGGACATTTTGACTGTCAGTTTTGGGCTGATTTTCACGAAATTCAAACTCAGTCGTCCTTAGGGTGTAACGGTGATATAATAATACGTTTTTTTAAATCTGATAAAAATTATGACCTCTATAGGGTACACAAGCTAAAAAAGATATTTTTCGTACAATCAGGGGCCATAATTCAGGAAGTTACGTTCCGATATGCGCGAATATCGAAAGGAACCGAGATCTTTGGGTTATAAACTTACATTTCAAGTTTCATCAAAATAGGATTAAAATTGTGACGTCTATAGGGTCCACAACCTTGATATACCATATTTTTACGCTATTTGAGAACAAGGGGCGGCAATTTTGTTTGTCAGTTTTGGGCCGATTTTCACGAAATTCGAACTCAGCCGCCCCTAGGGTGTAACGGTGATATAATACGTTTTTTTAAATCAGATAAAATTATGACCTTTTTTTTGTACAATCAGGGGCCATAATCCAGGAAGTTACGGTTGATATGCGCCAATATCGAAAGAAACCGAGATCTTTGGGTTATAAACTTACATTTTAAGTTTCAACAAAATCGGATATACCATATTTTTACGCTATTTGAGAAGGAACGGCGGCCATTTTGTCTGTCAGTTTTGGGCTGATTTTCACGAAAATCGAACTCAGCCGTCCTTAGGGTTTAACAGTGATATAATAATACGGTTTTTTAAATCAGATAAAAATTATGACCTCTATAGGGTCCACAAGCTAAAAACGCGATTTTCCGTACAATCAGGGGCCATAATTCAGGAAGGTACGTTCCGATATGCGCGAATCGGATAAAAATTGTGACCTCTACAGTGTTCACAAGCTAAAACGTGATTTTTCGTACAATCAGGGGCCATAATCCATGAAGTTACAGTCCGATACATGCCAATATCGAAAGGAACCGAGATTTTAGGGTGATAAACCTATATTTCAAGTTTCATTGAAATCGGATAAAAATTGTGACCTGTAGACTGTTCACAAACAATTGTGGACAGACGGACAGGGGCGACGACAATATACGTCCACATGAAAATGTGGGCGTATAAAAATTGTAACCTCTATAGGTTCCAGAAGCTAAAAACGTGATTTTTATTACAAACAGGGGCCATAATCCATGAAGTTTCGATCCAATATATGTCAATATCGAAAGCAGCCGAGATAAACCTATATTTCAAGTTTTGTCAAAATCGGATAAGAATTGTGACCTGTAGTGTCCACAAACAAATTGTGGACGGACGGACGCCCAGACGGACAGGGGCGCAGACAATATACGTCCACATGAAAATGTGGGCGTATAAAAATTGTGACCTCTATAGGGTCCACAAGCTAAAAAAGGTGATTTTTCGTACAAACAGGGGCCATAATCCATGAAATTTCGATCCTATACATGCCATTATCGAAAGCAGCCGAGATCTTTTGGAGATAAACCTATATTTTAAGTTTCGTCAAAATCGGATAAGAATTGTGACCTGTAGAGTGGCCACAAAAAATTGTGGACGGACGGACGGACAGGGGCGACGACAATATACGTCCACCTGAACATGTGGGCTTATAAATATTGGGGGGGTATTACGGCACTCACGACAGTCAAGAATTTTTTTTAGTTGGAGAATTTGTCCACCGCATCAACAATCACGATTGAACTCATAATGCTTATATCGTTGCGACTTACATCCGCACTCCTTCCCTGGTTTTTGTAATCTCTCAGGCGTACACTTTCTTCTGAAGGCATTTTGATTTACTGTGCTTATAGTTTTCTTCTGTAGGGTCTGTGTAGTATGGACAGTTTTAGTGATGCAAAAGGTGTGAGCTTTGAATCCGGAAATCTGTAAGAGAAATGACAAGAAAATATTAGAAGTACAGATCTTCACGCTTCCATTCTAGTGCTATTGGAAGCACTTGCAAACTAATATTGTGAAAGAAATGAAATGGGGTTTAACCAGGGTTCTTAATCCATTTTGAAATGAACCGGCCACAGGTAGGCCTAACGGATAGTCGTCTTTTCAACAACAACCATGTTGGTTTATTCATACTCTATTCACGACAGTAATTGCATAATTCACTAAATGCATAACGTATTCGGGATAATAGCTGAAACTCCGAATAAACAGGACCTTTATAATTGCATACTTGTATCCATACATCGTTATAATATCGACATTTATAGTCATTATTTCAGCAACTTGCATTGCATATTCCTACTTTTGCTTTCATCCAACTAAACGGAAGTTATAAATTAGTAAAAACTACAAGTACATACAAATGGTTTTTTTTAAATTATATTATTCGTAAGCACATGTTCATATATATAAAAATAAAAAAGTATATAAATAACTAAGTAGCAAAAATCAGTTTCCGTGTAGTCGGAACTCGGAAATATGCTGTACGTACGAAAGGTCACATGGCCAATTGTCGTGATTCAGGTTAGTTTATTTTTATATTACCAGTATACGCAGCAGGACTCGTTCGGATGTCTGAGAGGATCTCTTCCTCAATTTCACTGAATATTAAAGAAATAAATTCACCACAATAATTAAAATCACGATATAATTTTTTTGTCATTTCATGTCCCGTTCTGTCAAATCGTTCAATTATTGTTTATATTCATAATTTTCGATGGCAATGTATGTTTTTTTTTGCTATGAAACACGCATTTCGGATTAACGCCCGGTTTGAAATAATTTCTATAGATTTAAGAATTAAACTCTTTGTTCTGCCATCGTCTTTCTTTGCTACGTAGGTATGATCGTCAGATTAATATGGTATTTTATTGCCGATAATTTGGTTGACCTATATTGGACGTGGGAGGATCTCCGGCTTTTGGAATTTCCATTGACGACGTGCATGCTTGAAGTTCAATTGATTACCTCAATTAATTTGTTTATGAAATAAGCCGAAGGTATTCATTGTAATGATTGACTCTTTGATGGGTTTCTTAATCGACGAGTAATAATTAACTCTTTGTAATCGGCCGAAAGTAGATTGATTTATGATAGTGGCCGGTTCATTGTTTTACCAATCGGCCTGATAATTAATTCTTTGTAAATCGGCCGAAAGTAGATTGATTTGTGATATCTTAGTGGCCGGTTCATTGTTTTACCAATCGGCTAGATTAAAGATCAATCGGCTAAAGCCAACAAAAAACAGCCGATTAAGATCCCTGGGTTTAACGTCCTACTGTTCACCTCCTAAACTGGGCTAATGAAGATGGGCATATGCCATATAGTGTGCTATGAGGGAAATTTTGCTCGGGCAGCGGCGCTACGGCCTACTCTTATATCGAATTCCAACTGCCAAGGGTCTTTTATGTGCACGCCAATATGTACATGGGACCTCGGTTTTTCGGCCCATCCGAACGACTAGACAGCTGTCCTTGTCAGGCCCTCCGTCCTGCATCACTGACAAGGGGGAAACCACGCCAGAAAATTATTGTGAATGACAAATCTCCAATAAGAATATCTATCCGAAAATAGTTCAATTCCGTTCAGTATTTAAAATGATATATGCCACCATTTTGTCAGTTCCTTTATCTAAATCTTACATATTGCATCTTTTTAGAAGTAGGCAGCCGTCCGAAATTAAAACAACAGACAACAAAACATACGCCCACAGTAGCCAAGTCGTCCGAGCAGTAAACAAGGGTTGTCGCATATTTTTTTCTTTTGTCAGTAATGAAAAGATTTACACCACACTAAAATCTGATTACGATTAACAACTATGTCTGGCAATCAATACCGATTTCAAATATTAATATCAGCCACAATTTCGGTAAAATTGATCTCGATATATCGGAAAATTTGAAGATGAAATACCTGTGTGCTAATAATGTATTTAAATGTGTTATCGATCAAATAACCAGCGGCTGCCAGGCAGGATACGCCCACATTTTGCAAGAGATGGATAGAGCACAAGCTAAAAACAAACGCGATTTTTTGTACAATAATCCAGAAAGTTATGGCCTGAAATGTACATATATCAAAATCGAATAAAAATTATGACCTCTAGAGGGTCCACAACCTTCGTATTACACACTTCTACACAATTATGGTGGAATGGTGATGTTTTATAACGTTTTTTAAAATCGGAAAAAAATTGTGACCTCTAGAGAATATGCAAGCTAAAAATGTGATTTTTCGTACAATCAGGGGCCATTATCCAGGAAGTTAAGTTTGGGTATCTGCAATTATAAGGAATCAAGATATATTCACACGTTTTCTTTTAAATCGGATAAAAATTGTGAAATGTATAGGGTCCACAAGCTAAAAACATGATTTTTCGTACAAGTAGGGGCCATAATTTGGGAAGTTATGGTCTGATATGCACGAATATCAGGGGCGGATCCAGGGGGGGTTCTGACGCTTCCGGAACCCCCTCGAGATTTTTCGGTGCCCTTTTTTCCCGAACGGACTTCCATACACCCGCAGATATTTGGGCCGGCAAGTGGCGACACGCGCGGTGAATGAAGACGTCAACGTCATACAATATGGCGACCCCCTTGCTAGACGGGAAGATGAAAATTTTTCGGTAGTTTTTGTTCCTATTTGCATCTAAAATGCCGCGACACGATCGTATCAAGAGGAAAAGGGAGGAAGATAAAATTGCTGCAGCCGCTTAGTGTGCCAAAATCAGCTGTTTCTTTCGGTAAGTGTAAAATTTTACTGCATTTGTTGATTTTTAAGGTGAAGAGAGTAGTCTGTGCAGCAGTCGCTAGATATTTACTATCATCAATGTACAATTAAAAGAGCATTTACACACTTCAAGCTTAGTGATTTGGAGGGCACATTAAGGCCTAAAATAGGGCACTGTTACGTGAAAATCATGGGTCTAAGGGGCACATTTTTTGCCGAATCGATATAAAATAGGGGCATCTTTACATCAAAGGGGCACTTTTTGTACCTAAATGATTAAAAAGGGCATTTTAATGTGATACCCTTGAATGAGGAGGGCACATTCAACGCCAAGTCGATATACAGAGGGCATTTTAACGTCAAAACCATGGATTGCAGGGGCAATTGAGGCCTAAAATAGGGCACTGTTACGTGAAAATCATGGATCTGAGGGGCACATTTTATACCGAATCGATATAAAACTGGGGCATTTTTATATCAAAAGGGGCACTTTATGTACCAAAATAATTAAAAAGCGCATTTTAACGTGATACGCTTGAATGAGGAGGGCACATTCAACGCCAAGTCGATATACAGAGGGCATTTTAACGTCAAAACCATGGATTGCAGGGGCAATTTTTACGTCAAAAGGATTCAAAGGGCATTTTCACGTCAAACTCTTGGATTTGGAGGGCACACTTTATGGCGAATTTATTTAAAGAGGGCCTTTTTATGTCGATCCCATCGATTTGAGGGGCACATTTTAAATGCCAAACCTGTGTATAGAATTACTCTTTATTTTTAGGCCTTCCGTTCTTTCTGCTGAACCAGTAACAGAACCTGTTGTTGAGATTTCTAGCTCACAGTTGTCGTCACCAGAGGATGAACCAGAAGCCGATATTAATGATAATTATATGATTGAACCAAATGAAGCCAGGTAGCTATTTACTTTTATTCTCTGTGTTATATGACTAATCGTCTAGAATAGGTCAGTCACCTTCAAGGGCACATGATTAATTGATATTGAAACGTCCTTCTGAAACAGATGCCAATAAGAAAGTGAAGTTTAATCTACTGCCCAGTCCAGCCATTCCCATATTTCTTGTTGTTAATTGTTCATATCTCTCTGTCTGTGACAAATTAACCTGATGTCTATTAATTTTTAATTGTACATCTTATTGTATGTCACATAAATAAATTTATTCTATTTTTCTACAAGGGAATGTGTCGTAAAAGATGTCACGGAGAAAACGCTTCAAGAAACTGAACAGACCTGCAAGATGATGTTGTCATAGAGAATTGGGAGAGACAAGATATCACTATAGGTAATATTTATATCAATATATATATATATATATATCCAATGTTACATAACTAACACACTACAGAATGTTGATGGAGTTTCTTGATTGTACGTTCTTCTCTGGCAGCATTTTTCCCGGTGAAAAGAAACCGATAATCTGTATACGGCATCATACATGTAGATGGGGCTATAGACTTTTAGAAAATTACCAGTGATGGGTTAAAAAACCACCGGACACATAAATTTCTTAATTTTTCAGACATTTTATGAGCTTTGTGTACAGTGACAGCTGTCCTTATATGATGACATGTTTTGGCAGCTTCCAATTCCGGGATTTGCTTGTCAATGTTGAATTTCAACAACATTTAAATGTTTTATCTTGCAGATGACAGAAATGATTCGAATGCTCGGGCAGATATCTCCTATTTCATTGAAAACGGCAAACGTCCAGCAGACCAGCTAACACGTTATGAACTTTATCGCGTAGCAACCAGTGTTTGGCAACCTGAAAAGACATTTGAGTATCCAAAAACATTAATGCATTCCAAATGGAGAAAGTTCAGTAAAGATTGGTTTGATAGATATAGTTGGTTAGCATATTCAAAAGAAATGGACGGTGCGTTCTGTCGCTCATGTGTACTTTTCGGTAAAAAGGATGATGCTGCTGGCAAAGGGGGTATGGCGATAAAACAATTGTTCAGTGAGCCATGCAAAAACTGGAACAAAGCTAGTGAAAAACTGCAGATGCATAATGATAGATCAATATTACATAGAAATGCAGTTGTTGCCGAAAAGACTTTTCTAAAATCTATGGAAGAGAATTTTGTTGCGGTCGATGTGCAAATGAACAGTGCCTACAAAGAGCGAATTGAAAAAAATCGTAAAATTTTGGCAGCTATTTCAAAAACCGTCCTGC